GCTTAGGTTAATAAAAATATGGAAATGTGACATGGCTTGAAAAGACAGGGAATGAAAGCAGAATTATCTGAAATAGAGTGAAAGAAAAAGGGGAGGCACAACACAAATGAGGAAAAATTAATGGATGAGAATGACACAGAAGCACATGATCCATAGTAGCAGTGTTGGCAACACAATCATGGGAAGTTATCTGAAAAGGGATGGGCTTGCCACATACATTTTGTGGTGGAATACCCATTCCACCTCTCTCCGGTCACCATCCTTAGTCACTGGATTTCATATAATTAGGGCCCAATATTTAATCCTCTACCACACTCGCCACTAGAATGTGTGGGTCAAAAAGTGCATGCGTTGCGTCGGATAAAATATAACACTTTCCTTTCCACATGTTATTTTCATTCTCTCTTTTTATTTCTCGGCTTGTCTAGTTTTATCGATAAATCAAATAATATTTCAGAGATTTACAAATATTCCTTATTAATAAGGCTACTAACTATTGTTTCGCAATTTACAAGTGTAGGATGCCTAACTACTATACTAACCTAATAAGTAAATTTGATTCGTGTGATTAAAGTACCAATTAAATTAAAGTATAGTGATATAAGTGTTCATCATTGAGATTATTGTTATCAAACATTTGAGTTATTAATTATTTAGTACTCTGGGACATTGAATTCCACACGGCAATGAGATGCTCATAAACCGCAAACATGATGGCGTTTGTCATGTTATTTTGTAGAAGCATCAAAGGCTAATGTCGTCACCGATATGGCTGCTCCCATTAAGTAATTAAACAGTAAGATTGTTTAAGGGGATTTCTTTTTGTTCAAAAGTGTCTATCATGCCTTTCTCTTTCACTTTACGTTTTGTTTAAAGGTTGAGCATGCATGCATTTGTTTTTCAAAATATAAAAATAGGATAGAGTTAGCTAGTTTTGAAATGATCATTATTCATTAGTTGAAATCCAAAGCAAAAGTGATCACTTTTTTGGTTTTCTCTTTTTGGTTTCTTTAGAAGTGCTGGGGGTGGTTGTGAATTGTGATAGGTTTTCTTAATGATGAAACAATTTAACTTTCTGTTGTCTCACTTTCTGCATTATAAAGGCAAAAAATTGTGACCTTAGATTAGTAACGATCTTTATTTATTGATAATTAGTTGATATTTAATTATAGCCACAAAATATAATCAGAATCATCAATTTTGGCCGGACTATATAATGGGTGTCAAGGTCTCTATTTTCATCAATCACTATGTTCTTCTATTTCCCTGATAAACATTTGCGTCTATCTTCTTCAACAAATTAAGGAAACCCAAGTCATTTTATTGACAATAATTTTCCACCCCATGATCATATATCATATATACCATTATAATTCAACTGCGATGTAATTATTAATTAAGATGCACGTGCAGTTTACTCTATGCTTGCTTATATGACATTGAACTTATCTTATTCTTCTCATTGTATTTATCTTGATGTTACCACATGTACCATACCTAACTCATTTATGGTTTGTGAAAGAAAAGATGTTCAGTTCAAGAATATAATGAACTTGGCCTAACTCATCCTTGTTAGGAAAGAGGAGTTACCACATACATATACATGTCTCCATATTGGTAAGATATTGTCTACTTTGGACTTAAAGTCCATGATTTTTCTTTTGGGTACCACCAAAAAGACCTCTCAACTAATGGAGACAATTAATTGTGTGTATATAAACTCATGTTCATTCTCTTGTTTGAATGATGTGAGACTTTGCTTACATTCCAATAATCCTTCCCTGGGACTTTTGCTTGCACTGCCGCTCCATCATGACCTCTCGACAGCGGGACACGTCTCATAACCCCCGCCGCTCCATCATTACCTCTCGACAGCGGAACACGCCTCATAACCCTCCACTATTAGGAAGACTTTATCACCGCCGCTCCATCATGACCTCATGACAGCGGGACACGCCTCATAACCTTCTACTATTAGGAAGATTTTCGACATAAAGGATCCCAAACTTGGATCCATCTGCCAACTACATCATATTCATCGAGCCGATCACCTGAGGGTTACCACACATACATATGTCTCCACATTGGTAAGATATTGTCCACTTTAGGCTTAGCCCTCACGGTTTTACTTTTGGATACCACCCAAAAGACCTCTCAACCAATGGAGACAATTGTGTGTATAATCTATGTCCATCCTCTTGTTTGAATAATATGAGACTTTGCTTGCATCCTAACAATCCTCATCGTTGAAAGTTGTTTCCCCATAAATATTCTTTATCTTTGGCCTTAGAACATCATGTACTAGCTAAAATCTTCAAGGTCTCTTTTGGTTATGTTTGCTGGGATTTAAATGTCTGAATGTAGTAGTTAGATCCGGTTGGCATAACACTTGTACTTTTGGTTCAAGTTCAACCACCATTGCCTTCAAATAGCACGTTCCTTGGCTAAATGAACTGTTTATGGAAAACTCAAGGTGACTTGTTTTTTAACCCTGAATCTGACTCATGTGTTGCTTGGGGGTTCATTTCATATGGGGGGACCAACCCCATGTTGTAAACATTGTATATATAATTTTTGTTGAATGCAATTTGTCATAACTCACGGGAATGGACCAATACAATGTTGAATTTAACCACACATATTGTGCATGAGGATAATTGAACTAGGGACTCCTTTTTAAGGGAAGGAGAGGCCAACAATGTGTCAACCTCTTGGACCACCATCTAAAATTGAGCAAATCCTACATTCCAATTTTATGAAAAGCTTAAAGAGCTTTCTTTTTTATGTGACAATGATACTGCACATGTTTCGGTTCAGCTTCACTTTGTATCAAGTGCATTATTCTTTTAAGCAAAGAATATAATTTAAACAAAGATGTATGTTAAATTGAAGGGTGAGGATGGCACTGAGCCTTATCTGCATTTGTAAAGAATGAGTTCTTGCTCCCATCACTATCGTTACCCTATGGGAGGGGGCTAGCAATTTCTAGTACCCAGTGATGTAGGGTTAAATATAGGCCAGTCAAATTCTATAAAACAAAAAATAATACAACCAGGCTTTATCCCCTGTGAGCTCGATTACATGAATTACACGTAGTTTCAAAGATGTAATTTACTACGAGATTCTTTTGACAACTACCTTCCATATTTTTCTTAATCTCTCCTTCTCTTTGAAGGACTTAAAATTATATGCAAATCTATTATTCTCACTAATGTTTGTTGGGTGTGTCCAAACTACCTCTTAACCGACTTTTTTGTATTCTTTTTTTTCAGTAAGTACTACACCAATCTCTCTATATACAACCATTCTATATCCTATCATTTCTCCCAATACTACATATCTATTCTAAGATAATAAAATTTGTCTTCCTTTGAGTTTGTTAGGTAGTTTGAGATCACAAATAAATCTCAATGCCTTTCTCTATGCTAGCCGTGTCACTTGTATTCTATGTGGTACATTTCATTTTGTAGTATTAATCTTACGCAAAAAATCAAGTTGCTCAACTAAATGATTAAGGATTAAATGCTGATTATTGCAAGTGCAAAAAACTAACGTTAGGAGGAGATTTTTACCTACTCAGAATCTGTCAAACTCCTAAAAAGAGATTAGTTTTTATGTTTGATAAAGAGATACTCTTTAGTAATAAAAAATAATAAAAAAAACAGTTCAAAGGGATACAAATGGGAGAAACTCTTTCTAATAACCATGGGATTTAATACATTATGAAAATATAAAAAAATAAAAACTTCATTAGTCAAACCAGTTTACAGTTGTAGGTTAAATTTTTGGCACCATCCCACTGTTAATTTATGAATATAAAGTTTATTTAAAGTGAGAAGAGGATTAGTTGATTAATTTTCAGGCAAGGCATTTAAAGAGAAACAGACTGGTTATCTTCCTATGACAAAGTGATGAGAACGCCACATATTCAGCATGACATGGCCCTATTAATGGAAGCATATCCAGAAAGCTTTGGCCGGTTGGCCTACTTCATCCAAGTGGGCAGTGAGCAGTCATATCCTAACACAACTTCAGATGATATCTCTGTTAATTTGAGTCATTATCCAGTTAACTTATCCATAATCTATATCACATATTCCCCTTGCGGATAAAATTTAAGAAATCAAATGCAATACAGCTAAGAGTGGGACTATTTATTTCTATGTTGTTTCCCTGCATATGACTATGTACACTTCAAGAGACATTATTTTTTCTAACTATCAATGTCAAGATGGGGTGACCACTCGTTATATAAACATATAACTTCTTTACCATTTTCTAACTATTTTTTCATGTTTTTTAAAATTCTTAAATTACTAATTACTTTCGCTTTTTTAAAATTAAATTTTCTTTTTTATTCTAAATCTCATTTGCTTATATTACCATAATAGTTATTTCCCTGCATATACTCTATACATGATGCATATCGGATTCAAGACATTTTAATTTGTAGCAAAGATATCTCTTAATCAATAATCATAATTAATTTCTTTTATTAAAAATTACTTAAGTTTGTTTTCTTCGACAATTTTTTCTTCCATACACATGCCCAAGAATAAGATCCCCGACAACTAAATTATCTATTAAACTTAATTTTTAATAAAAATAAAAAAAAATTACAAAAATAATTGTGATAGAGATAAAATCTAAATCCCCATATTTTTAACTATTCTAACCCATTTTTTGGACCCTAATGATGATGATATTTTAAACTTTGTTAGATCACTTAATACTAGAAACTTTTTTCGGGATGACTCATCACTTCTATCTATGCGACATGCACAATCACGAATAACAAGATAAAATTAAATTGAAGTTTCATCAAAATATTTTAAAAAATTTGTCTTCTCATCAATTTTAAAAGATTCCTTCAAATTATCTATTGCACGAATCGCGTTTTTATACAAAAATACCCTTAAGTGAAAATGCATTAGTTAATTAAATGGAAAGAAGGTAAGAGAATACAATCCTAATAATTTTAAGAGTAGTTCAGAAAAAAATAGATAAATTGTTAATAAATTTAATATTGTTAACTAAATAGAAGTATCTTGACTAGTTAAAAGACCAGAGGTAAGAATTCCGAAGTAATAATACAAATAGATATCTTAGTCGCTATGTCCTTAGTATTCAACTACCAATTTCGCACATGAACCAACCAACTCAACCAAACTCGAGCAACGTGTGCAAACCCCAACACTAATCTACCACATAGAACCAAAAGTTTCGCTGCATTTCTATCATCTCTGATTGTACCCCTCTGAAAAAGATAAATAGCTAACAAACTATGGTGCCACAACCATTGTACAACAGAAATATAGTTATGAAGGACCTCAAAGGCTTCTGATCAATAGCATGGAAAGAGATGCTGTTCGAATGTGGTTCTGATACTCCCGCCAAAGTAAAAGTGGAAGTCATATATGCTTTGCAGAAGAATATAATGGATCGAACAAAATCTTCAGATGTTGTTTTGCCTCCTCCTGTGGAAGATTGCCTGATGATCATCTTTATCCATTGTTCAACTCACGCGTCTAAAAGTGGAAAGAAAAGGCAATTATCACCTAGTAAACCAAGAATAGAATACCAACATGTATGCTGACACTTGACAGATAGAGGCAACGTCATGAATGATCAATGTTCAAGTCTACTACATGAGAACAACAAGAGAGTTGCATGTATTAGCTAGATTATGCTGTTCAGCAAATGCAAAAGCAGCAGCCTTGTTTGAATCATCCTATTGATGGCTTCTATAAAAAGAAAAATCTTTATAATCCATGGATGATGTCGTATGTATTTTAATGCTGCATTATACATCTTGCTAGTAGTCTAGTACTGAGTCTATTCTTATTCACAACAGAAATATCATTTCCACAAGATCGCTGTAACATAATGTTATAAACTCCTTTCCATGTCCTATCATGTAGAACAAGCTGGTACTCAGTAGCAGGAAAAACCAATTCATCAATTGTGCATAAAGATTTGGCGATGTGAAAAAGAGGTCAAACATCCAAAAAAAAAATCTCCAAAAAATACCAATTACTACATTTATGTTTATTTCAAATTTCATTTTCTTTCTTGGTTAATTCCAGTTTTCTGCAATATTAGAGCACGCTTCTATTGAAATTCAACTGGGAAAACTAAAATAAATAGTAAACTGAAGTGGATAATATGAAACTTACTATTATTTCATCCACATTCAAAGGCACTGAAGAGTCAACCGAGAATCCCAACTCTAACATTAGCTTTTCCAAGCGATTCACATTTGTCATATACAGATAACCAACCTAATTCAACTCTAACATTAGCTTCATGTTTGTCAGAGAAGAGGCTGAAAACAAGTTTCAAATTATAGGAAATAATTTGTTTCAGATTATTCTTATCAAATACTTGATTTTCAATTACAAATGAACAGTATAAATAGAAGATATGTCGCAACACGCATGTAAGCAGAAATTGCAGAAAAAAAGATATAGCAACTAGCAATTACCCCTTAATAGTAGATTGTGCTACACATATTGCAAATAAAGGTTATGACATTTAGAAGGTAGCTCTTATAATCATAATCTTCCATTTGAATTTAAGGGTTGAAATTTGATTATTCTCATTCTCATCTAAGGAAGTCATTCTCCAATGATATGTCCTCAACATATGCATATAATTAAAAGATGTGTTTTAATAATAATCTCAGAGCAAATTACTATGTTGCAGTTGTCACTGCCATTTTAGAGTTAAACAAATATATAAAGGAAATTCTCAAGAATCAGATACTATTTTGTGCAAGATTAATATTAACAGAAGGGAGATCGCATAGTTTGAAGGCACTGACTAATGTTTCTAGTGAAGATGCTCTGCTATACACAGCTGCACCAGCACGTCTTTTTGTCTTAGTTTTGCTGGAAACTATGTTCTTTCCCCATCGAAGAACATCCCTGCAATAAAGATCATTAAAAGCCATAAGCCAAAACAGGGCACTTTATTTTGTAATAGGGATCTTTATTAACCACCACTAAATGTTGATTTATGCTCCCAAAAGCTCTACCTGCACCACTGTTGATAATTATCTCCTTTTAATGAATGTATCTTACATGTTAAGGTCTAAAACCGATTAGAGTCCTCACTACCCCCATCTTTTAGAGAAGTAAACCAGCCATGTTTTAAAAGGAGTCTACCCAATCAACCAGGCCATCAGCTTCAATGATTTAATTACACATTGTTCAAAATTAATCTAGGAATAGACAGGATACACAAGCATAGAGTCAAAAATCAAGATGTAGAGTGCCAGTAGTCTCTAAGCATAGAACTTCAAAATAGTGGACAGAATATTCCTTCCTATTTTCCCACGACAAAGTAAATAAGATTAAAGTTCATTTGTTTGTAAATTTTTCGTGCACCAAATTCACTATTGGAGACAAGGTTGCATTAAAAATATAAACTTCAGTTTAAAGTAAATATTATAGACAGATAACAGGATATTGTATCCCAGAATCTTCATACAGAAGAAACATTATACAATATTATATTAAAAATAGAAAATAGTGTGCATGCAAGTGTGTGTGTGGAAAGAGAGAGAATGATGGGACCCTGAAAGTAACATATTCTAACCTCTCTTGATCTGATAAGAAGTTACTTTCGAGAAGTTTCTGCAGCAATGCATCCTGGAATGCAGAAAACATGAACACTTTAATATGTGTTATAATTTTATTCTGAAATAATTAGATTAGAAACATATTTTTTAATTCATTAGTAACAGAAAATAAAAATCCAGGACATCAACAGCCAACTGAAGCTAAAATTCATGTAGTTTTGTTTTATTGACTTCACGGAAGGAAAAAAGAAAAAGAGAAAAAAAAAACTATGATTAGGATATAAAACACTTGCAATGAACAGCTAGGATATGTAATTGAAAAAATACTCTTTCAACAAATTCAGCCTTGGGGAAAAGCTTCTGAAGTTTGCAAACAAGAGTTAAGAGGAAAAAAAAGAAGCCAAGTTTATGATTTTATTATGAAGATTTAGGTAGTGTTTGGCCCAACTTATTTTGGCCTTCTCTTTTTTCAAAAAGGAGAAGTTAAACAAAACAAAATTTTAAGAAAATAAATTTTTGAAAAAGTAACTTTTTATTAATGAAGTAAACTTGGAACCGAGGAGTTTTTCTTTTTATAAAAAACTAGTTTTAGGAGCATTTCATTTAGCTTCTACATCTCAATTTCCTTCTTTATTTCAAATACCAAGATTGAAGAACACACTTCCCAATAAATTTTAACTTCAATGAAAACTTAAGCTAAAAAAATTAGAAGAATTACCAAACAACTTTAAATCTAGATTTAAAGATCTCATTTCTAAGTTTTAACTTCAAAGTACTTTTTATAAAAAAGTTGGGCCAAACACTACTTCAATATGAAATATGCTTAGTGAATTTCTTGTGTTCCCTCTTTGAATTATATAATTTTCTACTATTTAATGCATAGCTCATTATCATGGTCCATGATTTACTTCTGATGAAGAAAAGATTTACAGCCTGATCAAGAGAAAGGAATTCTGTCAAACATACTATGAATGGAGCAAATCTAATGTGCATGTAAAGCTATATGAATGGATTTGGACAGAGAACATGTGAATAGTACCAAAGTCGAGAAAGGGAGAAAGTATAGATCTCACTCAAGACAGAAAGAGCTACAAGTCTATAACAGTAGATCAAGCAAGATAAGTATAAAAAATAAATTCCGAACTCCCAATTAGTTGACAACTGAGTCTGACAGGGCTATATAGATTAGAAAGAAAAGAAAAATGGAAAAAAAATACGTGCCCATCAAGATTCAAGTATACTAGATCTTGGATGTACTTATCTAATTTCATAGCATACATGAGACATGAAGATAAAATAAGTAGTAAGGAAAAAATCATACTTGAGCCTCACAACGCACAACTGCCATGACACGATCATTGTATTCTTCAATACCAATGGGTGGAAATAAAAAGTGCCTACGAGCATAGAGCTGCATGTTTCAGAAAAAAAAATGAGAAAAATTGTAAGAATTGTTAGAATTTTATTGAATACAATTTATAATGCAAACTAGGAAAGCCTGTTCAATTGACAGAGTTGATGGCAATTTATACTTTATTTCATAAAAATAGATATAAGAATAAGAACAGATTTGTAGAATTATTAAAACTCTTGTACTTGCAAGTTGCAATCAATGTGGGAAAAAAATTATACTTAACCATGTACCCTGTTATTCATGCAGCGCATTGTAAATTCAGTCTCCATTTTATCAATTTGTTAGCGTGTGTTTGCTTGCAAGCCCAAGACATACGTTTTTGGATATTACACATTTACACCAAAATATGGAAAAACACAAGCTACAGTTTGTTGCTTCTGGCTTGATGCACATGCAGTTAGTCATGAAAACCAACTCAGTTTTTAAGGCAGCATTGCTTTGTATCCACTTAAACACTTAAGGCCTGTTTGCATAAATTTCTTTGTAAATACTTGTAGGAGAAAAAAAAGAGAGTTAAAATTAGCTTATGTATAAGTTAAAAATAAACTTTTGGAGAAGCCAATATGAGAGAACTTTCACAAATCAACTTATGCATAAGCTAATTTTAGCTTTCGAAGAAACTTATTTCATCATTTTTTTTTTCTCCTATAAGTGTTTCTCCATAAGTTTATCCAAACAAATTCTTAGAAAATGAACGTAACATTGCCCCTCACTATATTAAGTAGCTATTGCATATCGACGATGTTAAATGGTGGTCGTATAATTTAAGCACTTGAGCTCATTGCCAATAGTGAAAGAACAACATCCTTATGGGAATTTGTTCATTTGATCAAATAGCGAAATCCAAAATCAGAGTGCTTAGACTTCAAGTGGTTAAGCAAAGCCCATTTGAGTTGTACTAGTGAAAAATTATTCTTCACTTTCCCATCCAGGCATGAAATTTGGAGCAAGCAAACAACAAAAGAGAAGCATTAACGGTGGCAGAGAGAAAAGTAATGAGAAAGAAAGAGACCTCGTATATGCAATCTCCAATATAGGCTAAAGTAGCAGCGTTAAAGACGGAACGAGGCTTCACCACTTTGGGTGGAGTTGGGAGCCATTTCTCATACCCCAAATAGGTTTCATCTTGTTCTTCTTCTACTTCTACATGTCCTGAAAATATACAAATATTATAATTAAATAAGAAACGAGAGAAAATTGAAGGAAATGAATAGCAATATAATACCTATTGTGGGGAGAGGAGTGGCGCGTTTGAGAAGATTAGAGATGTAATCTTCCCTCTTACGCGTAATTGGTGCAGTGGAAGTGGAAGAGGGAGAAGGAACAATGTTCTTCTTAAGCTTTCTGGGAGCGTTGGGGTTGTAAGGGATTCTCTGTTGTGTGTCCCACGAACCTCTCACTGCGAATTTCAGAGAAGATAACAGAGTCTCCATTTGCACTATTTCATATTTCTGGATTTCAAATGTGCCGATGTATTATATATTATACTAGAGTTGGGCTGAATGAATGAAAAACTGGTCCCAATTTGGATTATCAGCCCAATCCAAGCATGTAAGTCGCGTACTCCGTAACTGGAGTTGCTATTTACACCTCATATTTTTTACTATTTAGATTACACAAGTTGGAATGTTGGAGGCGCTGGCGTATAACATAAACCATAAAACGTGTCTTAAAAAGAGTGGTCAACCTAGGCTTCCTTGAACGTAGAGCTGGTAACTTTAGCATAACCCTCACTGTAGAGGGACACACATTGACATTGTAGTGCTTGTGCTGTGTTTGGGTGTTGTGTTCCACTCGCGTCACCATGAACCGCTACGACAGTCGCTCCGGCGACCCCGCTTCGTACCGCGACCGAAGAAGGTTACACTCCCTTCCATTTCAACTTTCTTTTCCGTTTCTAGGGTTTCTATTTTCTGCCGCTAATTGCTGAAATGCCACGTTTGTTTTGTGAATTCTCAGTGATTCGGGCCTTGCTGCACCTTCAACCACTGGCTACGGCGGTTCAAGCAGAAGAGACTACGAAGACAGTTCCAACAAATTCAATTTGGATGGATTGCCTCATTTCGAGAAAAACTTCTACACCGAATCACCCTCCGTTAGGGCAATGACAGACGCCGAGGTTAACGACTACCGTCAACGCCGTGAAATCACTGTCGAAGGCCGTGACGTCCCCAAACCCGTTAAGACCTTTCATGATATTGGTTTTCCAGGTAATTACTTACTTCGCACGCGATTATTCTATGATTCAGAAGCAAAATCAGTTTTTATTGTTATTTTGTATACTTTTTTTACTGATTATATTACTATATAACTTGATTCAATGCAGAATATGTAATGCAAGAAATTAAGAAAGCTGGCTTCGTTGAACCCACGCCTATTCAGTCACAAGGTTGGCCTATGGCTTTGAAGGGACGTGATCTTATAGGAATTGCGGAAACAGGATCCGGGAAGACGCTTGCATACTTGTTGCCTGCCATAGTGCATGTTAATGCCCAGCCAATTCTTGGTGAGCTCACAAGGAAGCTAAATAATGTCACTGAGATGTGAAGATGGTGTTGTTGTTGTTTGCTTCTGCCACGCCACCATTGTTTTATTGTCTTTTAATTCCTTTGCTGTGTTATACAGAACCTGGAGATGGGCCTATTGTGTTAGTTTTGGCCCCGACGCGCGAGCTTGCTGTTCAGATACAACAAGAGGCGACTAAATTTGGTGCGTCGTCGAGGATTAAGAGTACGTGCATATATGGTGGGGTTCCAAAAGGGCCTCAGGTGCGCGATCTCCAGAAAGGTATGTGGTGAAGTAAGTATTACAGAGCCGTGACTTGGACTAAATGATCTGCAATTTTGGTGCAACTTCACGGAATGGCTTTTATTCTGTCATGATTTTGAATTTGTTGATGTTTTGGGGTTAGGAGTTGAGATTGTAATTGCCACTCCGGGAAGGTTGATAGATATGCTTGAGTCGAATCATACAAACTTGCGGAGGGTCACATACCTGGTACTGGATGAAGCTGATAGGATGTTGGACATGGGGTTTGATCCTCAGATAAGGAAGATTGTCTCTCAGGTGACTTTATTATATTATTTTATTAATATTTTAAAGGGTTTAATTGTAATGCATTTTTAGTGTAAAAATAATTTACATTGTCGACAAATTAGAAATCATTGTTGGTATAAATTTTAAAATAATTATTGTAAAAGTCAACAAACTTATCATACATGGTGATTTGTGATTGAATGACATAATAAAATTGTTTTACATTGTCGATGTATAACTTATTTTTATCTATTTTAAAAATGTAGATGGTCATTCATGTTAGTGTTGTTTTGCATAATCAGGTTACTTTCCTGATGCTTTATCCACAAAGTTTGTTAATCTTTCTGTTATATGTTACATTTCATTTGGCAATTTGTATTTATCTCATGGGAGGGAGAAAGAGATAGGTATAGTATGTGTTCTCTATCACCTCTAATTTTATTCCTATTTCTGAACATGTAGATATACCTGGAACCAAATTCGTGGGGGCATTTTTTTGCTTTCATTTCCCAGTGGCCCAAATTTCCAAGGCTTTGCTATCACGGAAGTAACTTGTTTTTATTATTACAATCATCTGGGTGGAATAAAGCTTTTTATTCGGTAGAAAGGTCATAATTAAGGAAGGATAAGATATCCTCTGAGAAAAGCAAACAACAATATATTGAAGAACATTCAATGACACCAATTCAAGATAGAATGCCAATCCCTTAAGATTTCAGATAAGGCCCATACTTTCAAATTAACCATTGGATAAAAGCCATAGAAAGGGCTAACCACTTCAGGATTGAGGTCCAACATGATGCACCAAATAGATACCAACTGGTGGCTTCCAAAGAGGAGTGCATTTTGTATTGACTGTTGAATCACGAGACATTACTCTAACCACTTCTTACCTAATAGAATTTTATGACATGGATAAGCTCATCATGGAAGTTGATGCTGATCAAACTGAGTTGGATTAGCAAAGACAGATTGATGAAGCTGCAGATTAAAATTAGTTTATTCTCCAGTTATCTGATGATTTTTTTTTCTCCCCCCTCCCAAATGTAGATTCGTCCAGACCGTCAAACTTTGTACTGGAGTGCCACATGGCCGAAGGAGGTTGAACAATTGGCAAGGCAGTTCCTTTATAACCCATACAAAGTAAGATACTTTCATGTCGGAACATCTTAAGTTGTTTTTTAATATCATTCCTCTGTTTGTCGTATGGTTTTGTTCTGAAATTTATATTTTTGTAAGGAAGGAGTTTGTTTGTTCATGCATGGTATTGTTTAGAAACACAGTAGGATTTGAAATCCTTACTCAATGACCATTCCACATAATGTTACTTCTATTTTGAATCTTTGACCTCTGTTCCTGACTTCCTTCACATGACTATTTTTTATTTTTTTTTCCATTTGTCCCTTTGTTTATTCTTGTTTTTTCTGTCCTTTAAACTTCCCAGTTCACATTATGCTAATTTTTATTTAATTTGTTTATGCTCTTTTTCAATTAATTTCATCATCTTTCAGTTTTTGACTTCATTTCCGTGTTCTGATTGCTCCTAGATTGGTGGTGATTGTGTGTAACTGTGACATTATTTATCACGAGTTTATTAGATTTTGTTTTTTTAGTATTTATACGTGCAGTGTAAATTATTTAGCTTATAATACTTAACAGTGCGGCCATCTCGCCTCCTACTATCCTGTTATAGCATTTTAAGCTATCTGAGATTGATAACAACATTATAATGAAGACTGCATTAACGTTTTCTTTAACCATTGTGCAGGTAATTATAGGTTCTCCAGATTTAAAAGCTAACCATGCAATAAAGCAACATGTTGACATTGTTCCCGAAAAGCAGAAATATGATAAGTAGGATATGATCGATGTTATTTTCACTCGGAGTCCTAACTTTTAACACATTATCAATTAGGACCACCTAATATAGCCATCTTATTTATCAGATTGGTGAAGTTGCTGGAAGATATCATGGATGGCAGCCGAATACTGATATTCATGGATACTAAGAAAGGATGTGATCAGATAACTAGGCAGCTCCGCATGGATGGTTGGCCTGCACTTTCAATTCATGGAGATAAAAGTCAAGCAGAAAGAGATTGGGTGCTCTCAGAGTTTAAATCTGGAAAGAGCCCTATAATGACTGCAACAGATGTTGCAGCTCGTGGTTTAGGTACAACTTTTTTGCATAATAGTTTAGATATTATTCTTATTCACTATAAGAAATTAAAGTAGTGCTACTCTAGCTTTGGTAATAGTCAATAATTTTGTTGAAGAGGATACGTTTTAATTAAATTAATGTTAAGACTAGGTTACTTACACCTTATATTTTAAATAATTTTTAGCTTGTTAACTTTTTAATGCTCTTTTTGAGCTATTTTTTATTCCAGTATTTTGCATTCATTTACCCCTTCCTAGTTCCGATGCAAGAAACATATTTATCCTTTAGACCAAACAATCTTAGGTTTGCCATTATAATTTTTTATATTTATACAGCCACCAGTTCATATTAGCAATTTTCTCAGTGATGGATAAATCTGTGCATGAATTGTTTGCCATTTTAAGTTATAATTTCCATATGCTGTTGGTCAATCTCATATCATGTATTATCCAATCTTTATGTGGTGACTTGAATAGCAAAAGGCTGTTTCTGTCACTGATAACTTGGAGTTCTATTTTTTATTGGTTAAAATCTTTGGATTCAATCCTTTGTGAATTTAAGCTGTGTAAGGAAAAACTAGGTTAAATTATTGTCTCTGTCTTCACTAATTTTATAAGCAAATGTTTACATTTAAAAATATTTAATGGAGTCCCTGAAATATTTTTTTAAAAAAATCAAGTCCTGACTTGCTAACAGACTCCGTTAACTTTTGTTAAACTATAGGGACGTATTTAAATGAGTCTTTATGTTAGTTTTCAAATAGGTTCATTTCATATAGTTTAGCAAAAATTGACAGTAGTTAGCATACAAGGATTAAGGACTTATTTAAAAATTTTCAGAAGCATAAAGACTGCTAAAACTTATAAACTATGAGCACCAAATTTATAAGAACTTGTGGAATAATTTAACCAAAAAAAGTATTTGCATTGAAAGGTGTCTTTTGTGCTTGGATGCACACTTGACACTTCTGTTAGAGGAAATGTACTTCTTAACTTATGCCTACAGTTGTGCATTTGTATCTTGATCCTTCCTGTTACTTTGTCACTGACAGATGTGAAGGATGTGAAGTATGTGATAAATTATGACTTCCCGGGATCACTTGAGGATTATGTTCATCGCATTGGTCGAACAGGGAGAGCTGGTGCAAAAGGAACTGCATACACATTCTTCACAGCTGCTAATGCCAGATTTGCGAAGGAACTTATAACCATTCTTGAGGAAGCTGGACAGAGAGTGAGTCCTGAATTGGCTGCAATGGGGCGTGGTGCACCCCCTCCACCTGCAGGTTAGTTGGTTAACTGGACTCACTTATAACTTGGTTTCCTGCCCCCACCGTTAATTTTTCGTTGAAGGGTATACAGTACCTTAATTATGCTTGGATAAAACATAGATTCAAAGGGAGTTATTTTCTTAGGTTTATTGGCTTAGCTTGTTTGCTAAAATTATTATACCACTCACCCAATGACACCTCTAGCGGGAGCTATCCTGAATTATTTGGTATGTGAATAGTTTGTAATCGGAAGCATGCCTCGTTCATCCTCAGTTTGAGAATGCATGAGCGGGAAGCTTGTTCAAAATCAAATTGATAACGTGCAGCATTTTTAGAATTCATGATTTATTTGCTATGCATATTTGATTTATGAAAGCTTTCCTTTGTATTTCTTCAACAATCAATCAGGAGGTTTCCGAGATCGTGGGAAGGGTTATGGCAGTGGTCGCCCATGGAGCTGATTGATAGTAGTTTGGTACAAGTACAACGTCACATACTGTGTTGTCCCACTTTCAAATTAGCCTTTTGTACGAATAGTGGTAGGAATTTGGTTTTCTTCTTCGATAGACTCTTTTTTCCATATTTATTTGGTAGATATGTCCATGGAACATGGAAAAGAAGCCTTGTATCTATAATCAAACACTTGTTGTTCATACTTGATCGTTCATACCACAGTAATTCATTTTACAGAAGGTCATGATGCATTATAACCGCGTTGTTTTTCGATTTTTGTAATTTTATTTTTCTATCTGTAAAGGGGGTGTAATTGTTGTTCTTTTTACCGTAAATAAAACAGTAAACACTACTTCCACTTCCGCATTATCACTATCACTTTTCTTACAAAAAGGAGTAGAGAGGAATTACTGTACAAGGAATTTTAATTTATTTTTTTTATTGATCAAATGTTTTGTTTGAATAAATTAATTCAAATTTTTTAATTTTATTTTTTAAACTTTCTAAGTACATTTTTCGTTGGTACATAAATTTCTAGTCTAAATAGTATAATTTAATTTTCATTAGTTAAACTATCTTTGTAATAATTTTAACTGCAACAATTATTAATTTTATTTCTACTTTGTGAGATCCGTCGCATACATGGATTAAGTGAAGCCATGCGCCCATACTTTCGGCATCATATCACTAGGATTAAAATAAAATACTATCATATCACTAAACATGTACACAAACATATCATTGGTTTCTATTTTTTTTTTAATTATTTAGTTTTTAAAAAGTTTAAATGCTCGATTTTTACATTTTATTATGTATACTTATTTACAAATTAATATATTGGCAGTACATAAGGTAATTATTTATTCTATATAAGTAAAATTTATATATAACATTATATAAATGGGATATACCTATTGGGTGTCTACTTTTTAAAGACATCTATAAATTAATTTTATATTAAAAAAATTTCTTTTAAAAAATATCTGCTCACTTTATTAAAAGTAACTAGCCATTATTTTTGCACATACCCATTTTTTTATGAACGTAACAATTTGTCATATCAATACATTTTACAATTCAACTACTCACACCGGAAATTACAAATATAATTACTTAAGTTTAACATGTAAATAGTTTCTGGAAATTATGTGTAATAATATATGTATTTAAATAAACTCTACTGAGAATGTAAATGTTATTTAATGGAATTACAACATATCCTATAATCTAAAAATTGAAAATATAACTTAAGTTGTCAGTCAAACAACACTGCAAAATAACTACAAAAAGGTAACATCAAGCTACACCACCAATTTAGTATGGCTCTTGACTCAACCTCTGCCTCCAATTTATCTCTACCTTGCTCTCATATAAATATGATCGTCTCAATTCAACTATAATGAAACATGCAATGATAAGCTAGTATACAAAAGAATCAACATAATAAGCATGGAAGTAAAAACAATTATACTATTAACATAAACAACCCAACTAACTTCAACATTTTACCAACTTGTAACTTTTCAACACAAGACAACATGTTCTCCAACTTAAACAACGAAACAACAACCCTCAATTTGGCATTCAACAATAAAGCAACTCATTAATCATTCAACATAGCATATGAACAACACAACACAATCAACACATCATATGCACAATACCACAACTACATGCATCATCACGCATTCAACTAAAAGATTTTTTACAACATAGTTGAGTAGTTTAAGTGGTTTGATTCTACCAAACCAACAATAATACGATCTTTTTATTCTAACTAGATTAACAATCAAATTTGGATAAAGATCCACAATAGCATGATTTTCTCAAATTTTACTACTTAAACTAGAAAAGTCTAGTATTTCTATTAGGGTAGGACAACTTGGGTGTGTGTCTACCATGACATTAGCCTTGTGACAATCATGCCTAACATGGCTAAACGTACACCCAACTTTATTTCAAGTAGAAAGCCTTTATCTGACTCATGTCTAACATCATTGAACAAGCGCTCGGCATCGTTTAGGTTGAGAGCTTTAGTCTTTATCATGCTTGACATCACTCAACCAGAGTTTAGCTCCGCCAAGTCAAAGAGCTATAAGGGTATCCATGTCTGACACTATTCAACTCATACCCGACATGACCAAATAAGAAATATATCCTTGAACTCATACTTGGTGCTACCAATCTCGTGCTCGGCATCAGTAGGACACAGAGTCTCTGACCTATGCCACGCTCGAAGTCTTGAAATTGTGCTCGACATCTTGAAATTGTGCTCGACGTCTTGAAATTGTGCTCGACGTGATGATGAAATTTGCACTTGGTAGAATCACAAATTGACTCTGAACCACCCAAAATACAGACAATACCAACATGCAACACATAATAAAACATATATAAACATTAAACAACTCATATCCATCTTAAAATCAACATGAAAACACAATTTGATCAAATCATCAATTTTCACTTCAACATAATTCATGTTAAATTCTTAGAATCTATAATATTCCAAAACTTTGATACAATATTATGAATTTTCTTATTATTATATTATTTTAAAAATAATATTTTAAATTTTTAGCTATCATATTTAAAATAAATAAATATAAATGTCTTATTTTGATACCTTATAATTTTTTTTATATTTTCAACAAATTAAAGTAGAAATATTTATTATTCAATTTGATTATAATCTTTTAGAACAATATTTATAAAAAAAAATTAGTTACCATATTTAAAATAAATAGATAAATACTGATATTTTACTTATTTATTTATTATCTTATAATTTTTATATTTTCAGTAGACAATATATATATATATATATATAATATCCAATTATATTATAAAAATTTATATAATATATATATATATATATATTATATAAAATAAAATGGTTCAATGGCTTGTTAAGTGGTGGATAAGAATTATAAGTTATATATTTTTAATAGTAACTAAATAGTTTTTATTAATTAAAAAAAAACATTACGTAAATAAAAAAAAAACGAATCCGTTGAAAAGATAAGATAAAATCTATATAAAAAAAATCATGAAACATGTGCCTTAAATAAAGATAAGCTAAGGCAAGATAACATGTGCAGTAAATAAAGATAAGGTAAAGTAAGATAAAATCTGCAGGAATGTCAATTCCCAATTCACGGCAGTAAATAACTTGTAATTAACTAATTCAATGCAAATTAGGAGATAAGAATTTTCTGCAGTAGATAAGATATCAAGTACAAAAAATCAGGAGATAAAAATTAAAAATTATCTAGATCAACTACAATCAGTAGAAATAAGGTGAACGGCATTGAACGAAACTTTGTATGAGAAAGAGAAATTGAACGGAATTTTGTGAGAGAAAAAAAAAATAACTTTTGAAGTATTTCAAAGAAATATTATTTTTCTAAGATAAAGAGAAGGAGATTTTTATTTTTTTTAAATTTTATATGTTATTATGTTTGTTTATTTTATGTTATATTTTATGTATATTTACTTAGTGAGATGTCTTTAATTTTATTTATTTATTTAATTTATGATATTTTTTTACTATTAATAATTAATTAGCTTATGTTGTTTAATTATTTTATGATGTTTATCATTGTTATTTGTTTGTTTAATATTCTTTAATACATTTCATATATGTAAATTATATTTTATTAAATTTTAAATAATAAAAAAAATACTCAACTTATTTAGTTCAAGTATTTTATAATAATATTAAATATAATATAGTTTATGTTAAAATATTTTAAACTCATTTTGTTGTTATTGCTTCGTGCATTTATAAAAATAAATATTATTCTATGACCATAAAAATGAAAATTTGAATTAATTTGTAGTTAGAGGTTTACCTGGAGATTTAAATGAAAAAAACTTAAGGTAAAAAAACCTTTAGTTATTTGTTATTTTAATGCTCATTTATTTTGACTAGTCACTACAAGTATAATTCAAATTCTTATATCAAGAAAAATTAATATATATTTATTAGTATTAAATATTTCTATGCATATTGTATAATTTTTTTATATTTATTGGATAATTTTTCTCATTTCTTATGTTTCTTGTTTAAAATATGTAATTAATTTATAATAGAAAAATATATATATATAGATGGATTTACTAGCAATACCGAGCCTTTTTCCTTCAGTCATATCTGCGCTATTCTTCGATACTATGTGGAGTGTAGATGCTGTAGCAAACTCAATCACTTTCAACGGAATGGCAGTGTCATCTTTCACATTCTCTCCAAATCAATAATTTCCCACTGTGATCGACGACCTATAGTAGTTACTTTTTATTTACCCCCAGCTAATCACGTTAATCCCATTGTAAATCTGTATCAACCTAATATGTAAATATTGTAATATATATGAAAAAAATAAGTAGTTACGCACGTAGTTGTAAATATTTTTAGTTTAATATGTAATGTAATTTATAAGCTAATTATATGTAAATGAGTTCGAAAATCTTTCATTGTTATCACGTATAATATTATTAATAATATACTTGTGTTTTCAATCTATAAATAAATATACCTATAATATTTGGATTAATATTTATACCATATGACGTTACAGAATCAACCAACTCAACCATGGATTGGTGGAAATCAACTAACATACAACACAATCAATCTAAAAAGAACTGAAATCCTAGTTTCCCTTACCTCTTAATCGACGAGAAGGGAGGAAGGAAAAAGAACAACTCTAAACTATCACTAGAAGCTCCACACAACAGAATCACGTCTTTGATCCCTGGTTCCACTAGCTCAAATTAGCAACATAACCACCTAAGGTCTCTAGGAAAGGATTACAACACTGTAAAGAAGATTTGGGGGAGAAGAGTTTTTCTCAAACACTAAAACCCTTCTCCAAATCATGTCTTTAGTTTTTTAATAGTGAACTTATGAGACTTAAACCTTAAAAGAAATTTTATATATCTTCTCCCTACGACTCCAACTTGACTCTATTATGAGAAACTTCTGAACAACTAAAATCTCATAAAGAATCTCTTAATTTTTAAATTTCCTATCAATTAGACAACAAATCACACGACATATATTTTAATACAATCAACAACAATTAATTATAATGTACAGTGTTACAATGGAGACTCATGGTGCCTTTTTCACTGTTAGTAATAAATAAATATTTTTTTATTATATATTGTGTTATAATTAACTTTTAATAAAAAATAATTTTGAACATATAAATTATATTTTTAAATTTATGATAAATAATTTATATTGCAATATATTTTTTTTAAAATTGATAATTTAAAAAAAAAACATATAAGTAATATGAGAATGATATATTCAAAAAGATAAAAGTCTTAGAAAATTACTTTCAATTACTTTCTATATATGAATGAGATAACTATTTTGGACAAAAATATTTGAAGGAGTTTTTTTTTTCAAAGAGAACTTTTTAAAAGTATTTATTTTGTGTGTGAGGGTTTTTATAATTTTTATAATTTTTTTATCCATTTCAATTTTTTCATATTTACTTCCAAATTAAATTATAATATTTTAAGTAAATTATCAATAATTTAAGAGTTGCATCACATTACAAATTGTTTAACATAAATATAAAATTCTCTATATGTATAAATTAAAATAATTATTTTGAATAAAAGTGAAAGTTTTCTTCAACAAAATTATTCTTAAAGCTTTTTTTTTCTCAATTTCTTATCTATTTCAATTTATTATTTTTTATATTCATTTTTACATTTAATTTTAATATACATCTATAACAATATATCAAATATGATAGTTTGTGTTAGAATATACAAATTTTTTGACTTTTTTTCTTCTTCTTATAATTATATTCAAATCACTCTCTCACTATATTTTTATTTATCTTTTTAAATAAGAAAGATTAGGTGCCTTTCACTCATATTACATAATATTTGTCCTTTTATATTAAAAATTAGAATAAAATACGGGTTTGTTAATATTGGGGTGTTTTACCCTTCCTTTGTAAAAATTAAATTAAATTATACTTTTGGTCATTTATCTTATTTATTAGATTTATTTTAACTTTTTAAAAATATTTATTATGATGTTTTATTTCTTAATTTTTTTAAATAATAATTATTTTCAATCTTAAAATATAATTTTTAATTATTTTTTAACTGATTCAAAATTTGAAATTTATTTTATTATATTCATTTATATTAAAATAGTTAAATGCAACTAAAATTTAAATAAAAAGTATTAAATATGGTAAAAATTATATAAAAATAATTCTAAAATGCAATTAAAAATTTAAAAGGTATAATTTCATATTATTTTCTAGTTATTTATGAGACATATTTTTCACACGGTTTTCATTATATTATTCAAACAATTAAATTGTATAATTTTTATAAAGTTGAATCTATTGTTATAAGTTTTGTGTCTCAAATCAGTTAAAATTAATTATAATTATATCATAAAATTAAAAAGTATTATTATTTTAAAAGAATTAAATATTTAAATATAAAAGATAAAAGATTAAAATAGATATTTTAATAGATAAATATTAAGATAGATCTAAAAAAATAAGATAAAGGATAAAAATTATAATTTAATTTAAAAATAAATAAATAAAAAATAAGATAGGAGTTGATAAAGAGAGAGAAAAGAAGAATGTATTGTATAACACAGTTTTAAAATTAGAAAAAAGCAAGTGTAATTTAGTCATAACTTGATAGACAGAGTGTATTACAGTCAAACAAAAGGAATATATTAATTGTTAATTATTTATACAAAAGAAAAAGAATATATAAATTGGTGATGTGAGACGCAGTAAAAGCCTAGAATACGATTATTCATTGTGAATTGTGAATTGTGATTGTAGCGTGCTCGCGTTTTTTGTTCCATCATCGGAGAAGATCTTTTTCCGCTTTTCGTTTCACAAGGTTCTTTTTCTCTCTATCATCGATTTCAGTTTCCTTCTCTTCTGAACCATCTATTCACTTCACGTATGTATCTACCCATGAATTTTTAATGTTCGTTTCGCCTTTTTCTGCATGCAATTGTGATTGTGATTGTAATTGTAATTGTCAGAAAATCAACATGTTTGTAATTGGTATTGCAGTTGTAATTGTAATTGTAATTGTATCTTCTGCGTTTAGGCTTTTAGGTCACTTGAAATGGCGTCAAGGCACCGTGTACACAGAGAACCCTTGAATGCTCGAAGGGGCTACCCTCAGGAAGGGCCCTATTCCCGCGTGCCTCCGATGCCGCGCGCGCCGCCGCCGATGCCTCCTCACCCGGCTGTGTTGGAAGAGGAACTTGAATTCCAGCATGCCGAGATGCGGAGGCTGGTGGCAGACAACCGGAGGTTGATTGATGACCGAATGGCGCTGCAGCGAGAACTTGCCGCCGCGAAGGAGGAGCTTCATCGCATGAATCTCGCCATTGGCGACATCCGCGCCGAGCATGAGGCGCATTCCAGGGAGCTTGTTGAGAAAGGCTTGAAGATGGAGGCTGACCTTAGGGCAAATGAGCCCTTAAAGGGTGAAGTTATGCAACTGCGAGCTGAAGTTCAGAAGCTCAACAGTCTCAAACAAGAGCTGACAGGGAAGGTTCAGACGCTTACTCAGGATGTTTCAAGGTTGCAAGCAGATAATCAACAAATTCCAATGATGAGGGCTGAGATTGATGGCCTGCACCAAGAGCTAATGCGTGCCAGGTGTGTGTGGCTCCATAGCTGACAGGGTTTCCATTTTCTATTGTGAAGCCCTTTTGTGATGGGTATTACCACATTTGTACGCTTGAACTGATGATGATTTCATTTTTGCTTTCTAGAACCATGGTCGATTATGAAAAGAAGGCAAACATAGAGTTCATGGAACAGAGGCAGTCAATGGAGAAAAATTTGGTTTCCATGGCCCGGGAAGTTGAGAAATTACGCGCTGAGCTTGCTAGTGCTGATGGCAGACACTGGAGTGCTGGTATGACTTGTTTGTTATGTTGTCCTTTTACAGAATTTATTGTCCTTCAATATATATTAAATAACTCCTTGTGTATTTATTAGCAATTCAGGCTGTAGTCATTCAATTAAAAGACCTGAAAAGAGCCATATCCTCGATTCTTTTAAACCCTAAATAATTATTGTGAAAGCATGGAAATCCATTGTGCAGTGTTTTTCTGTCACAACTGTTGTAGCCGAAATAGCAGATGTAATTGTGGCAAATAGTGCAATACAGCAGCACAATCCCAATGGGAATTGAAAAATCCAAAGTTGATTTTGGGGATAAAAATAAGACTTTACCCCCTTTTCGGACCTTAAGTGAAAGCTAGGGCTTTTACACTTTTCCCACTTTGTTTTGCCCACCCACTATTGTCAGAGAGCTTCACTTCTCTTCCATTTTCCAGCGGTTGAAACCCTGTTTCTGGCCACATTTTTTGACACCGTGGTTCTGTTTCCAAGCCTTCTCTATTACAGTTGTTATTTACTTTTATATTTTGCTCAAGACCTATGACTTTTTATTGTTAATTATAAATATATGTTGAATTTTGTGGGGTGTTAATTTTTTATCATTTATATGTATATATTGTAATATATATATATATGTGTGTGTGTGTGTGTGTGATTGATAACTATGATTCACCAATCTTGGAGTATCTATGCATCATGGCCTGAAAGCTGAAGTCATTAATCATTATTAAAAGCCAGTTTGACCCATATAGTTCCATTATACAGAGACATTATTCTTGTTCTTTAGTCCATTTTTTTCATGTTTTCTTTATTTATGAAGGTGGGCCTTATGGAACAAAGTTTGGTAACCCGGAGGGGGGTTTTCCAACTCCATATGCAGATGCATATGGTGTTCACTTGGTATGTGCTTTCCTTACTTTGCATATTTTAGATTTAGCACTCAATTTTCTAGGTAATATTTACTTTTCATGTGCTGCTGTTTAGGGTGCTGCAGATAAAGGTCCTCTGTATGGAGCAGGTGCTGCTTCAAGAAAGGGACATGAGAAACCTCGCATGAGTCGTCGTTGAAATTCAAATGATGGATGTTGGTGATGAAGAAAGGCTTGCCATCACTTTGCCTTTTCTGTTAACAGAATAGCTGGGATTGAGTTTGATGTTCTGTGTATGCATGCGACACCAATGGTCATTTTATCTGGAACTCTGGATATATTTTATCCTAAACTGCATATGTAGGTTTTAGTGTTGCTTTGGTTTTTCTTATAGAAAACATTGCTGCAGTATCTCTGTTTAAATTTTAGTATAATGGATTTCTTCACTTTATCTGTCTTCCCTTGATATATATTTCATGTTTTAATTATATATGTTTTTGGTTGGTTATAGTTACAAGTCTTTTTTCTGGGTAAAAATGTTTTATGTTGATCATGAGCGGGAATGCAACATTGTAAGGTTGAGGTTTTGTGATTCCCATGTGCTGAATCATGTGGCCTGGAGTTAAATTTATGATGGGTTTGTCTGGCTAGCATTAGTAGAAGACTATTGGTATTTTGTTTCAACTTTCAACTATTGTTTCCTATTCTCCTTGTTGAAATCCTGGCAGTATGTTCATCAAGTGGCGGTGTTGAATTCATTTTATGTCAAGGATTATGGATGTGGGTTTTGGAATTAATTTAGTGGATAATTATTATTTTGTCAGAGGAGTGACTACATTAGTGGAAGTTGGAGCATAATTTATATTAGGTTATATTTTCTGGTATACTCAAGTGAACAAAATGAGAATTTTTTTTTTCTGCGATTAGAGTATGTTATTGTCAGGATAGAATGATAGATTTAAGTTTGTAACTATTTGAAAGATTGGATAAACCTTGTCCAAAATTGCTGGAGATGTTGGTGGCATGGAGGATTTCATTTGGCTGTAGCCATTGTACTTCTGTAGCTGGTAAAGAGGCATCGTGCTCAAATTATTGGGAGTATACATTTGGGAATGTCTTATGTTGCGAATAACCTATGGGGTCATTAGGGTGTGTATAGGATGCCCTTTTCTTGAAGTTGAAGTTGCAAGCTCTCAGTGACGAGTCTACTTTATTTGTTTCATTGGCCAGAAAAGATTCTTGTGTTGAAGGTGGATGTACTCACTTTTGGAATTGATATATGTACCTGCACAAAATATTAAGCTTGGGAGTATTCAAGCATTTTTCGCTCCTTATATTCTCTGCCAAGCTTCTGGTTATAGCTACTTCCTTTTGCTGGCATGGAGAGTGACTGGTGAAATGTGTTGCTTTTGTCATAAAATGGCATTATTGATGACACATACATTGTAGGCTGTGACAATGTGCAGGCACATGTGTTTTCCTCTTTAGATAATCTGGCATTCTGTTGTTTGTTGACTAAGGAAAACCACTAATGCAATGGATGTCGATGAAGTGGATACATATTTAAATGTATGTTGCACTTAGGTCTAGTCTTGCTCTAAAGTTTGACATAACCCTCCTCCTTTACAGGGAACTGGCACCAGCTATGGGATCTAGTAGGATAAGACTTTTCTCATTGTTGTTCAGTTAGACCTTGGGTGCTTTAAGATAGTAAATACCATATGGAGATTGGTATCAATTACAAAGTATTATCATCATACATGAGAAGCTGGCTTCACGGAAGTGTTACATTAGCTCAGCAAGATAGTGGTGCTATAGGTCTTTTATTGCTCTTGCAAACTATTTATTTGAAGTGGACCAGAGTTTGGCTGATTTAAATGTAGGATGAGATGTTAGAGTTAGCTTACAAACCAGCCTAGCTCTAGGATTTCAGCGGGATGTTATCCATTGTATACCATTTTTGATATTGAAAATTTGAAAGAGGAAAAAAACTGGTAGTGTTGTCTCTCGTACCTTCACAAATTTTCTCATTCTTTATACTGGTTGAGGAGCTGAAATCTCAATGGTCAAGGTCCTCCATGATTTTCAAGATTCTTGTATGTTGCTAGATTCACCATGGAATATCAGAAGAGAAGGTTTCAAGCCTGCTGTATGTGTGAAGGCCAGCTGTTGATCAGAAAGCTCATAGGCAAGTATTCTGCTTCTCTTTATCGGTCTGAATGATGTAACAAATGTAGAACTTGCTATTTGTTACCCTGCTGCTTACAATCATGTAAGGTTTAGTATGCTGCTTAATATGAAACTTAATTGTTGCCAAGGTTATCCATGGTGGATGGCGGAAGGCCGTATTCTGCCACATAAAACACACCATTGCGGCCTATGGCGCTGCCCTAGCAGGCTTCCCTTCACAAATTCCTATGACAGCGGCGTCAAAAAACGCCATGTTATAGCATTATGGCAGTGCTATAATGGTTTTTTAACATTTGTTGCACACCAGAATTAGGGTATAGTAGGGTTGGAATTAGATCATCTTTAGATTTTGTTTGTAGTGATGTCATCTAACCAGAAGTTTTAGTGTAATGATCAGGAATTTAAATCTTAATTTGATGTTAGTGTAGTGATTTAATATATTGCTAGCTGTCAATGTATCCTATTTAAAATATTAAGAACTATGATCTTCTATATAGGTTCAAATACTTAGTTACTTGGAGCAGTCTGAAGTTGCAGGGTGGAAAATTTTCTATGTTCAATGTTCCTATAGGTCTGATTGTTGTTAGGCTTCTAATATGAGCAAAGGAACAGTAAACAATCATTGCTGGACCACCCAGTTAATTCTGATGTTTAATGGCTAAAGTTCAGCGTTTATCTCTAGTGGTGGGTTGAGTATACTGGTTGTTATTGCTACTCTTATCTGAGGTATTTATGTGTAGCAGAATTTTGGAGACTACTAAGTTGAAGGGCAATAAGCTGTGGCTAGTTTATTCAGGTTATATATTAGTTATTTTTGCTGACTTGGACATGAATTTTACGACTTGGAATCTGCAGTCTCTGGAATAAGTTTGACTGAGTATTAAGGGGACATGATGAACAGTCAGCTTCCTTAGTGATACAAGGGTCTTTGGGTTACCTATAATGTCGATATAGTTTCCACCTAGATCCAAAAACACCTGCATTCATTTCTTAGCTAGTGCTAGCAATTGACCTCATGAATCTTGAGGTTACTGGTATGCTTTATCTGGGCGAGATGGATGCTAGCAGTCTTGTGGCTTACTTATTTAGTTCTTATCAGTTTTGTTTGCTTATCATTTATAATGATTATTTTGTTTTGTTCTGATACTGCTAACTCTGTAATATATCATGAGCAATATATTTTCTTTCACTTGTCTTTTATTATGCTTTCTCATGTATTTCCCCCCTGCTGAGCTTTGTATACATATT